ATACACTAAGAAAACAAGAAGTATGACAATAAAAATACCACATTACTCATCAAATCACATATTAACACATCTAAACCCTACACTCTAATGCTATCCCTGATCAACATGTGAATCCTTAAATGAAGCATAACTTCCCCCATATTCCTTCAGTCCTGAAAACTAATTAGGTCATGAAGGAATTGTTGTGGTAATTCTACATTAGACACCACTTTCTCTAAGTCATAAGAAACGTTTTATTCTTAAGAGATGATGTCATCTTGCTTTTGGCAGAGAGAAGTGAGAAAAGGAAGGCCCCCGGGGAGGATATGACCTTTAAGCAGAGCCCTTAAGTATAGAAGGGGTTCACTGGCTGAACATTTGAGGGAAGAGAATTCCAGGTGGAGAGAATGGCATTTATGAGGACCCCGGAAATGGGAAAGAGTTTGCGTATTCTGAACATAAAAGTTAACAATGGAAAGACGACCGTGCTGCTGAGGGGCATCAGGGAAGGGACTCTCAGACCTGAGCCAGGTCACACAGGGCCGTGGGCCACACAGAGGCACTGGGCATTTATTCTAAGTGCAATGAGAAGCCAGGGACAAATTTTTAGCAGGGAAATGACCTCAACACACTTGCATTTTTAAAAAAGTAAACTTCAGTACTGAAGAGGGAGACAATGAATGCTTAGGAAATGGTGGCTTTCCCATAGCATTCAGGCCTTCTTTCTCTCCATTGTTATGGCACTTTCACGACGTCGGTGACTCCAAAATCTCTCTCTCTGGCTCTGTCCTTTCTCACTTCCAGGCCTATAACCTCACCTTTAGAAGGGCCACCCTTGAATGGCTTGGCATTCACCCTTATAGGGGATAGGGTATAGTCTCAAATACGTGGAGTCAAGGCACACAGGTCTTTTGCCGGTGTGTTTGTCCTTGAGAAATGCCATCTTGTTTCTCTTACTTTCCTCCTTGGTGAATGGAATAGTTCTTTCTGTATGGGATTGTTATGAAGGTTCAGTGAAATAAAGTGTGGGTCACAGCACTTCACATACAATAGGAACTCAAAAGTGGTAATACTAACCCCAATCATGCAAACTCTTTTTTATCTTTCCTCCCTTTAAAAACGTTAGTTTTCTGCTGTTACAATCAGTTCAGTCAAGAATACCAGCAGTGTCCTGTGACTTGAAAGTAGAAATCTCGGGGTCTTCTTGACCCGTCCCCGTCTTTTTCTCGCATGACAGATGTTACAAAGAACCAAGCTTATCCTTATAACAAAAGTCCTTTCTGTAAGGACTTCCCATCACTTCCCACCACCACCAACGTGGTCTGTACTCTTAGCACATCTTCCCTGAATTGATACAAGTATTTTGAATGAGATCTCCTTTCTCCAGTTTCTTCTGCCCTCAGTCTATCCTGAAGCATACTTCCAAAACACCTTCCGAAGCTGTTTTCTACCCTGAGAAGTTGCCGTAGCTCCATCAAGTTTGAATTCTTCCTCCAGCACGTTGGCTCTCCGTGGTCTTATTTCCGATGTTCTCCCACTGTGCAGCTTCCTTTCCAGGCAGTCGTCTTTGCTGTTGCTTCTCCCTTCCCCAATTCCTGCCTCGGTGTCTCAATACAGCCTCTTTCTTACCACCAACTCCCCTGCCCTCCCCATCTGTCCTGAGAGGCACAGGCAGACCCCTTGGATTCCTTCAAGCTTCCTTAACTTCCTCTTCCTCCAGACTCCTTTCACGGATGATTTGTGTATTATATTTCACTTTTTTAAATGTTTTGTTTACCAAAATACCTTTCCATTTTCCAGAGGAAAAATAGTTTGCCTTTTGTCTTCCCCCATGTTGCCTAGCACAGTCCTTGGCTTACAAGAAACACATGAGAAATTCTCTTTGAATGTTTTCTTTCATTGACAGTGGATCCTTTGTTTTTCTGATAGGAAGAGTCTCCAAGTATCCCTCAGTGAATATCTACACGTATACTTCTCAGCATTCACTTCCAAAGGTTAAAATCCTCACCTTCTAAAATAAGACACATAGCTATATCTTTAAATAGAAGTCTCTAGAAGGAAAATGAACAGTTCCTTGATTCTGTCAGAATAATAAAGGCTTAATCTGTGCTTATATTTTGTAGAACTCCCCTGAGCTGGATGAAGAAGGCTACAGCATCAGACCCGAGGAACCCGGCTATATCCTTTCTTTATTTTTTGATTATAATCTTTATTTTCTCTAAGAAAACTGTATGATAAGTTCAGATTTTGAAAAGGTGCTGAAATAACCCAAGCTTCCCAAGTCCTGTCTCCCCTAATATTAGAAATGAATAAACAGCACAGAAGAGCCTGAATGCTAACAAGTAGGCATTTTGCCTTGGTCTATTCATAGAAAAGAGAGAGAAGAGAAAGAGAAAAATGTGCTGAGAAACAATTGTGTAAACTGCAGTATTGGGTTGTCTGCTAAAACCTGATAAGACCATGTCACTTGTTGTGGCTAGAAAATAACTTACCTGTGCCCTCCCCACCAACCAGCTCTAGGCAGAGCATCTCTGAAGACTGAAATTCCTCACGAATCGTCCTGAGACTGGCTTTGCTCTCTAGGTAGACGAGGAAGCTGTCAGGGTTTGTGCTAAGTGGGACATCACAAATGGCCACCCACAGCAAAAATGTAGGACATTAAACTCTTGCTCCTGGAAATTCACCGTCCTTAATCATGTTCCAAGGAAAGGTGAATAAATGCAAACGCTTTCCGATTTGCTTTTTTATTCGTCTGTGTATTTTGCTTTGATTTTTCTGCCCTCTGAGGCTACCTTTGCTGCCTCTTTGTGCAAGCACTCTTATACTCATCATTGTTTCTCAGTAGGAAAAAGAGTTATGTATCTTTAACTGTGTTCTACCTACCAAAGGAAAGCACTTTTATTCTTCGAGCGAATCGGAAGAGGAAGAAGAGTCCCACAAGAAATTTAATATCAAGATTAAGCCATTGCAATCTAAAGACATTCTTAAGAATACTGCAACCGTGGATGAGCTGAAGGCATCCATAGGCAACATTGCACTTTCCCCATCACCAGTGGTGAGTGGTTTTATGTCGAGCTTTGATGAGTCTGCACAGACAGCTGTGTTCCACTCAGATACATTAAGTAGATCAGAAACTCTAAGCTGGAGATTGCATATGGTCACCCTTTTATGAACTTTGTCAACCTTAAACAGCTCATTCTATGTTAGAAAACTATGCTGATTTACATTGCAGTTCTTGTACTTTTCAAAATGGTAGAAATGCATGGGACCACATTTCTTTTTTACTTATTCTCCTGCAAGCATTTGAAAAGAAGGGGAAAAGTAACAAAAAGATTATCCAGAGTTACTTCTGAGGCAATTAAAAACAATATGAAGTTTACATATTTACTAACAGTGATTTTTAAAAACATATCTTAGTGCCCTTTCTTATGTACCACACCTAGAAACTCATGGAAGGAAAGCCAAGGAAATTGTTTTTCTTAAAAAAAAAAAAAAAAAAGGCTAAAAACCCAACTTTTTCATTGCTATATGCTCCCAAGAACTATTAATCTAATATCATAGATCACAGTCTAAAAACATATTAAGATGCATAATATTTATTATATTTTATTATCAAATTGTTTTAAATACTCTCATCTTTTAGGCATCTAAAATATAGGTAGACCTTACTTATATTATTTATATTATACATATACATTACTTATATTATACATATATTATTCAAATTGGTATATTTCTACAATTTGTTGTCCATTCCCCCAGTTCACACTTGCTAGATTTCTGTAGCTGCTGAATTCTGAGTTCCAACATGTATACTGTTTTCTCGGTGGTGTTTGATAAATGCTACAATTGTTTTTCTAAAAATAGCTGTGAAGTGTAGATGAAAGTTCTCAAACTAGCAGCTAATATGTTCTTGGCATCTTCTTCAGAAAGGTGTGATCTTCCTACAGCATCTTCCCTGAAAGAGGTAGTTAATAAATGCTGAACCATTTTTGAGATGCTTTTAAAAATATCTCAGCTAAACTTTCTAGAGAAATAGTAATCATCTATCCTTTGAGAATGAATATTTGCCTGGCTCAGATGAATAAAATCTATAATGATCCCTTCTTTAGAACTTAGGGCTTATAATGGCCTTTATCACAACTGTTAGTGATAATTATAATGATTGCTATTAGTAATCAACCACCGGAAATTATATTTCAGGTAGTTTTTAATCACGTACTCACTTGATATTTCAAGGTGTCTCCCTGAAAAAAGAGGCATGAAATATATTGGTTTTCTTTCTGTTCTGCAATGGAAAGTACAGATTATAAACTCATAAGCTGGTCTGTAATACCAGTGATTTCTAGTAAGAGGAGAATTTTAAATGCATACACTTTCACTTTTCAGTTGACGTATTTCAAATCATTTTTCACTTACTGTATTTTTTAAGTTAATTGTAAAAATTTATCTAAACACCTGAAACCAGTTTATATTCACTTTTCTGTAGGGTCTAATACAGTTAGTGGGCATTTGGATGCTCTCTGGGGGTAAGTGTCAGAAGATAAGATCGTGGGATTAAATGAACAAATTTACGTGAAAGAAAACTTACTAGAACAGTTGAAGACAGTCTGTATGTATTTGCTGAAAGCTAGTTGCATCTAGGAAAGAAGAAGTCCCCTCTATCAAAAAGAATGCGTGTGCCCAAGTCATCTGGCAGATATTCCTCCATCCAGATATGTTGCTGGCAGTACAGCAAGAAGGTTTAGTCTGAGCTCTTCTCAACACCTATTTTCAAGGTAATGTCTTGACATGATGGGGTTAAGACTCTGATAAAAAGATTTTCAGGAAAGCAGTATGAAGAGTAGCTGGGGACACCCTGGGAAAGAAATTACAGAGTTAGGCTGCTTCTGCATACCAGCGATGCCACAAACCAAGGGACTCCTGGATCCACCCACCACCACCCCTGCAAACCGCCCCCACCCCCTTGGCTTACTCCCTCTAGTGAGAGAAACTGGCTCTGCCCTTATGATTCCCAAAGGTTTGCGATTTTTAGTATTTAGCATAGGGGAGTGAGCTGTTATTGTTCCTTTAAGAAAAGTTACACCTGTTTCTGATTATACGTAAGTAAAAAAAGAGATTGTAACTGAGAACATGTTCTTGGTTTTAGAATCCTTACCCTTTCCTAGATAACCCACATGTACCTATAGTTCACAAATGATATATGCAGTATGTTACCTCCAGAACCAGATAAGTAGAAAAAACCTTCTGAAATCTAGTTAGTGCCATGATAAAAATGGCAAATCCTTTATGCAACTTCAGTTGTTTCCAGCCAGACAATCAGACATTTACATGTCTACACTGAATTCAGGTACAAAAAGAGAAACAGAGCCTATGCTAGTTAATAATGTATCAATATATTTCACATAGGCTATGGTTTTTATGCTACAAAAGCATCAATCATTACATTTATAGAAATAGAGGAAATTCCAAATGGTAAGTCATTCATAACAATGGTTTATGTTGGATTTTTAATTTCTATTTATTTTAAGGAATTTTAAGATTAAGTTGTGTTTCATTTGTTCTGTTCATCTATCTGTGAATATGAATCAATGAATTGTAACCCATTTGATATCTCTTATCATATATTGGTTCTTATTTTATTTGAATAGTTCCCTGTACACACTACATGGCCAAATTACTCCAGAAAAGAATGGATGGATGGATGGGTGGATGAATGCATCATATATAGCTACGTGTATATATAATACAAACCTATCTGAAAATTACTCTGCCCTAAAACAAAGCATCAGCAGCATAGAAAATCAAGGTTTTAATTGTTGGCAGAAATCCCATTGTATAGATAAATAAATGTAATTTCAATCCAGATCTTGCCTTGACCTTTGGTTTTTATACGGGAATAAAGTATAATGTGGGGCAGGACAGGGCAGAGCCCTAAAAAAGAAGAGGGGATAATGCAAGGGTTAACTCACAGGAAAGGACGTTAATTTCTATTCCTTCCATCATATGGTATCCTGGTAAGATACTGTGTTGACTGACCAAAACAGGAACAGCACTCACATTTGAGTTGTTGAGTTGGTATCTATACAAATTAGAATATTGGTAAAGCTGCTTTAACAGAGACCAAAAAAGAAATAGCTTATACAAAATAAGTGGTTTACTTTTCTCCCCTGTAAAAGTCAAAACTGGTACGCTCATCAGATGCATGATAGAGTCCTACTCCAGGCACTATTAGAGAACCCAGAAACTTTCTGTATGAATGTTCCACCTCTCTGAGCCTGTGCCTGCCTTACCACCATCCATCACCTCCATGGTCCAGCTTTGGGATGGAGGAAAGAGAAAATAAAAGGCAAGTAGTTTCCTTTAAAGGTTTACCTGGGAGTTTGCAAACATCACGACCAAAGCCATAATTTAATTACGTGGCCACGTTAGCTGAAAGGGAGTCTGGGAAATGCAGTCTTTGCCTGGACAGACATGTAACCAGCTAAAATTCAGAGTTCTGTTATAAAAAGACAAAGGAGTGAATGAATCGTGATGGGCATTGACAGTTTCTCCACTTTGTCTTAAGTAATCTCAGATTACTTCTGGAATTTCATTAGGGAATGGATTTTTTTTCCCCATTTACCTGCAAATTATTCATAGAACCTTTTGAACCCAGGATGTTTCCTTTTAAAAATTTCTAATCACTAAATTCTAAACATGAGTGATGCTGTGCTGCCTGCTAGCCAGCAGCAGATGAACAGAAACAAATTTCATTAAAATACCAGCTTGTTTGGTTGATACTGACCCCTCCAATAGTGACAATGCTTCCTGTATCTTGCAAAGAACACTGCTTTTTGAAGCAGGCTGTTTCACTGTTGAAGGAAATTATTTATTTATTTATTTTTTATTTTTTTTATAAACATATAATATGTATTTTTAGCCCCAGGGGTACATGTTGAAGGAAATTATTAAACCCAAATGCTATCTCCGTGTAACTTTTGTCCTTGATAGTAGCTGTGCTATTTAGAAGATTAACGAAGGACAAAAACACTCCTTTTCTACCTTCAAGTTTACTGTACAGGATCTTTATTAAGGAGTGACCTTGGGCTCAACTCCTGTGGAGTAGGATGGGCAAGGAGGAGAAGTTAAGCAGTGTTGCACGTCCAGCAACAGACTGAGCTGACCAGATAGGGAACTCCAGAACTAGAATGACCCTTCAGAGCTGTCCACAGTTTGACCGAGAGGAATAACCTTTATACTGTCCCATCAGTCCGTACTCTGATACGGGCAAGCTCAGAAGGCGTATGACCTTGGGTGAGGTGGCCCTCTGCCACTGAGGCAGAGCCCAAAAGGTTGTGCCCATAGCACTCCCGGCAGCTGATTTACAAGAAGCTCTTTTGAAGAGAAGTATCTAGGGTACCTTTGGCGTCCACCCGAAATTTTCTATACCAGACCTAGGGCCTTTTATATATCATTGCCATTCAATAAACGCTTGTGTGTGTGAGGGAGTAAACAAATGTGTGAGCTGGGTCAGGCCAAGGACAGAACACTATGGCATGTCACCAGCCTCTGATTGTTTATCCATCGAAAACACCCTGTTTCTCCCTGGTCCCCTTACAATGGTTTGCCTGCCTGTGCTCTCATCCCGGTCATGTATTTCCATTTTGTTCAAGCCAGTGATGGAAACTCGTTAAACACGATGCTGAATTTGAGAGACATGGGATGTCTACAGCTTTACCTAAATCTGCCAGACCAGAAAACCTACCCGAGATAATGATGGGTTTAATTTGCCATAACTATTTCTTTGTGCTAGCACCTAGGGTTATCACCTTTTCCAAGTGCTTTGTGTCTGTCGGGTTATAGAATTTTTTCTAGGATTTTGGGTTAATAGGAGGCAGCTGTGGAGTCTACAGCGTTCTACCTGTGTGACCTTAGAAAAGCCCCATCATTGTTATGAGCCTCTATTTCCTCTTCCGTAGAGTGAGGCTAATAATAGTCCTTACAGACTGTTTGTGCAGATTATTGCTGGTCTCTAGCAAGTCAAATCTTTTTTGACTTTTTGTACCTAGTGCTTGGTGCAGAACATGGGTTATTTAAAAATGACCAAATGCTCAATGCAAAGCATGCAGAAGATCCGAGACATGGTACCTGATGCACAACTAGTATTTTGCAATTCTTGGCTCTTCAATACTAGTTGTGTTGGGGTTCTCCAGAGAAACAGAACCAACAGGGTGCACGTGTGTACGTGCGTGTGTGTGCGCATGTGTAAAGAAGTTTGTTATGAGAAATTGGTTCACGTGATTATGGAGGCTAAGAAGTCTCACTAGATGTCCGATGCCAAGTGGAGACCCTGGAAAGCTGATGGTGTAATTCACTTAAAGTCCAAGGGCCTGAGAACAGGGGACCTGACAGTGTAAGTCCTGATCCCAGAGCAGAAGGAGGTGAGATGTTCCAGCTCAAACAGTAAGACAGAAAAGGGGGGGTGAATTCCTCCTTCCTCTGCCTTTTGTTCTATTCAGGCCCTCAATAGATTTGCATAATGCCCACCCACATAGGGGAGGGGGCTTACTTTCCTGAATCCACCAATTCCAAATGCTAATCTAACCCTTACAGACATACCCAGAAATAATATTTATTCTGGGTACTGCATGGCCAGGCAAGTCAAAATATGAAATTAATTACCACACTAGTCTATATATACATATACAAATTTCTAAAAATCTTTTTCTTCCCTTAATTGAGAGTCATGGCTTTGCTTCCCAGTTTCAGTCTTCTGCCCTAAAAACATTCTGTTTTCATGTTTTGGATTATAAAATATCTGCATCTCAAGGCTTGAATTCAGTAAAGGGGTTCAGGGATTTCTTGCGTATCTTAGACTTTAATTCAGAACTAAACCTGATCCACCTTTTAAAGGAACTAACTTTAAGACAGGTTTTTTTTTTTTTTTTTCCATACTGGACATTTGTGATTGATATTTCATTAAACATGAATAGAAGCTTTGTACCTTTATGCCCTGAAGGATCTGGTGTATCCTGGGAAAAACAATGGAATCTGAAAACCTGAACTAACCCCTGGCTCATAGTACTGCTGAGTCAGGTTCTAAAACTTATTTGCATCTCAGTTTCTTCATGTCTAAAATGGCAATAACGTATACCTACCTTACAAGATGATTTGGGGGGATGTCCACCCCTTTCTGTGAATACAACACACAACTCACTCTTACTAATGGAGGAGATAGAAACAGGGACAGGAGATGAGTGGGTCTGCTGTTTGTCTCCCTTTGTACCGCTCTCCCTACATTCAGGGTAGGAGCACACCTTCATTATATCTTTCAAAAATGGCTTTGTGCCTAAAAAGTAAAATTATCCTCTGAAAGTGGCTAAAGAAAATAATGGGTGGAAGATTGAACTCTAAGAAAATACACCTTTACAAAAAGCAACAAAATGAGAACTCAACATACAACTGAATACAATTCCATTTTAGATCATTTGAGGGAGCTAGAGATGGACTCTTAGTTCAGTAATGTTACTGTGATTCAAACAACTGGTCTCTACCTCTTAAATGCATGGCCTTGGGCAAGTTATAAAACCTATGCCTTGGTTTCTTCATCTGTAAGTGAAGAAAATTCCTGTACCAACTCCTTAAGGCTATTGTGAAGGTTGAATGAGTTAATAAATGTAAGAAGTATCATTACACATACTACATTTAGAGATCATTCCCTCATTCTCAGAATGATCTGCAAAGCCTGGGGCACAGTTTAAATAATATCATTGATAGTGATAAATCAGGAAACCCAAATAGCCAAAAATCATTTAGAGCCAAGTCCATTAATAGCCCTGTGCATAACACTGGGCAAGTGAATAAAATAACTGTTTCTTGTGTGACTCCTGTGAACTTGTCTTGGAGGAAATTTCTGAAGCATTCCTAAATTGTTTTGAGTACTATGAAACTCCCCGAGCAGGTATGGTGCTTCTCGAGAAGACTGTTGAAGGCCAACATTCACACTGAGATCCTGTACTGTGCATTCCCCACTAAATTATTTCAGAGAGAACTGACATCGTTTCCCACTTCCCCTTCAAATCAGTTCACCAAATATTTGGTAAGAACCTTCCATGTGTCAGGAACTGAGGGCTAATACTCACAAATAATGGGCAAGCTTTATGCAACCTTCTAGCTGAGAGTCTGCTTACCAATCAGAAAACAATGTCTAAGCAACGTCACTGGCAGCACACAGAAGCTGAACTTCCCCTTGTTGGGCCAAACCCCTTCCTGTGTTCACTTCAGTTTCCAGATTGAAGTTATGGTCTTCTGCAGCTAGCTTCCCCTATGGCCTCCACAGCAGAGCCTCCTGGCTTCCTCACCACTCACCAGGTCTCAGATGTGGACACCTCCATTCCTCCCGGCCCCCACAAGTAGCGCTCTCTCTCACACAGCTCCTGCCATGCTTTTCGCTCACCAGGTCCTTTAGAAACTTGGGGTTCCCGCAGCTTTCAGGGACGTGAGAAGACAAATGTTACAGTTTCATTCTTGCTGCACCAGCATCTTTTCCTTTTCTCCTGCGCTGCCCTTGCTGCCTTTACGTTTGTGTTTTGGTAAGCCACGAATCACTGTGGGCTGATCTGGAGAAGCTGTCTTGAACCAGAAGTGTTCAGTTCTGTACTGACTGAGAATTTTGGCTCTGAAGGAAGTCGGAATGAAGTTTGCATCCTGGTTCCACCCTCGTTACTCACGTGACCCTGGGCAAGTTACTTAAACCTTTAAGCCTCAGTCAAGACGTGATCAAGTGTAAAATGAGGTTAACACTGCTACTACTAACCTCATAGGGTCTGTGTAAGGATTAAGGAAGTAAGACAGTAAAGTGCTTAGTATTTTGTAAGTAGCTTTATGCATATAAAGACCAATGGAGATGTTTTGTAAATGCTAACTATTATGAATCAGAACAACAGAGTATTCATGGTGAATACTCGCCAACATCCTTTAAGTTTATGGACCCTCTGAGAACTCATGAAGGTGATGGTGCTAGTGTTGGTGGTGGCAGCTGTGAACATCTGAGTGTAACTGTGTCAGATGCTTTACACGTATTAATTCATTTATCCTCATAGCAACCCTACAAGATAGGTACTATTATTACCCTCCTTTTACAGGTGAGAAATTTAAGGCATGGAAGGATTAATTAAACTCACCCTAGATGTCACAACTAATAAGCGAAGTTCTGGAATTTAAATCCAGAAGTTCTGATTTCTAATTCAGAACTCCTATACACTACATTATCCTACTTTTGATAAAAGCCATTGGCTCTTTTTCCAGGAAAAAATAAAAAGTTCAATAGCTCCTCTAAAACATCTTATACACAGCTTCTGAGGACTCACAAACCCTTTGAAGGCTATCCCTTTGATGGTCCCTCAAGGGCTCTTGATCCCATCTCAGAAACCCACCTCCCAGGCTTTCTTCCCCCACTAATCCATAGACTTAACCTTCTGTGGTACCTCCTATGCCATTCTGTGTGACAAGAGAGCAAGGCTGGGCTGACAGGTCAGTCAGCCTTGATTGCTGTCATGTCATGTGTGATTCCTATTTTATTAAATGTCATTTTATACTAAGACCTCATGCACCTTTGTTTTACTTGTGAAGAAATGAGATCTCATTTTCTATGACTCATATTTCAGTTCCCCTAATCAAGCAAGAAAGTTATTTTTTTATGTTAAAGTTTCATTATAATTATAGTTTACATTTTATATGTGCTGTCATGATCAGGAAGATGGAATGAGCAGCCACACTACTAAGCAGGCAGAGGGGGGGGGGGGGGGTCATCCCATTTTACAGAAACAATCAACTCAGGAAGATTGAGAGGCTGCTAAAGGTTTGACGACCAGGACTTAAACTCCAGCATCTGCCTCCTTTCTTCCAAGTTAAAAACACAGTAGGTTTTTTCCATCCCGAGTAGGAGTCTAATGATTCTGTTGTCTTTAAATCCCTCTCAGTGTGAATACTTTGCTGTGTCTTCTGACTCAAGAGCCTCTGTGAGACGCTCTGTTTTAGGGGCAAGTTGGGGATATGGTAAGAGGACCAAGAAAGAGAAGATTTTCTTGAAGAATATTGGTTAAGTAGGAAGAGCACAGGCTTTTGAGTCTGTATCTTATGATCTGCATTCGTGAGCAAGTTCCTTAACATGGAGCCTCAGTACCCAAGTCTGTAAAATGGGAATAGGAATATCCATCCTGTCAGGATTGATGTAAAGAGGACATGAGATTATGTTGCAAAATGGGCAGTTAGTTGTCTGTCTCCTTGGCCTCCCTTTTCATCTCTGCTTCTCTTTAAGTTAAGAGACTTGTGGGAGTGAGAAATAAAATAAAAATAGCGAGGGAAGACTTGAGCAAAGTCAAGGAGAAGAGGGCTGATAGAGAGGATGTGAAAGGCGGGTCTGGGTGGCTCAGTTGGTTAAGTGCCCAACTCTTGATCTTGGCTCAGGTCTTGATCTCATGGTCATGAGTTCGAGCTCACACTGGGCTCCACAGTGGTCTGGAACCTACAAGAAAGGAAGGAAGGAAGGTAGGAAGGAAGGAAGGAAGGAAGGAAAAGACAAGTGAGAAAGAAAGAAAAGAAGAACAAGAAAAAGAGAAAGAGAAAGAGAGAAAGAAGAAAGAACTGATGTGGGACTAGGTGGCATGGCTGCTGGTGCCTCCTCTCTCCCCTGTGGCAGGACCTTCCGAGGGAGCTATCAGTTTAAGCTCGTTCCTGGTGATTTGCAATCCATAACGGAGTTATTTAATCAAAAAATATGGGGAGAGGGAGATAGCTTTGAACTGGAGACAGTCTGGTACTGTTTGCCTATTCCAGGTGGCCCACCCACCCTGCCACCCCCAAATTAGCCTGCCAGTGAGTAAAATCCATGAATTCGCTGCTGCTTGGTAACACCACCCCCTTTCCTGTCCTCACTTTGGCAGAAGGTTCAGCACCCCATTGAGTTCAGTAAAAACAAAGAGTCATCTGTGGGGGAGGAAAGCTCGAGTCTCCTACACACTGGCATTTGTTCCTGGTAGGATTGCTGCACGGTGCAAAGGGAGGCTAATGATTGTATGCATTCTGATGCTAAGTGCTCAGCACAGACCTCAAGCACAGCTAGTTGGGAGGCCAGAGGCTCAGCTTGGGTTCTACTCTTCAAGGAGAGCTTCAGAGGGCAAACATGATCTTGGTTGGGTCTAGACCAGGGATATCAAACACGGGGGCACATGAGCTGCCACTCCTCATTTCCAAATACTCAGCCAACACAATGACCGGATTCCATATCCCTGATGTAGTCTGAGACGCCCCCTCCAGACAGAGCTGCAGGCAGCCTGACCAAAATCATCCAGCTGGCACATAAGATGTAATGCTTTTTTTTTTGTTCTAGGCCTTACAGAGAAGGATAGATGGAGAACTGGGTAGGACCTTCCTTTTTCAATATATGTTGTTCTCTTTCCTGCATTCTGATAAGCCATGACTGTCTACAGAAGAATTAGTTTCATATCTGAGATGTGTTTGTTCTTTCCTTCGTTACCAATTATATTTTTCCTAGTGAATTCTCCGTTGCTTCCATTTCCTGACCTTTAAAATAAAAATATAATTTTTTCCATACCTTTCCTGCCTATCCTGTGCTTGTCAGAAGAAATCTCTGTGCTGTGTGTTTTGATCTTCTTGAAAATGAGCAGAATACGAATTCAATCTGGATCGCCTTTGTCAATATTTCTTCAGTTACTGCTAGTTGGGCCCTCTGAGCACACGGTCTTTTGCTCCCCTCTGTGAGGTGTAAGAATCAAAATTTCCTTGCATAACTCCAGATTCTTCCATCTTGTTCTACTATCTCAGACAACGTGACCCAATGGGGGACGGGAGGGACAGAAACCCGACTACCAGGATTAGAGACCTAAAAGCCTCATTTTCTGTTACCAGCTTAAAATTTAACTGAGACAGTATACCCACAATTTTGACACATAAAAATGTGAAGATGTCCTCAACCGGAGGCAGGAAATTCTTGAATAACATGCTTCTTTTTTAATTACATGTTTTTAATTATAATGCTAATCATAATCAAAAAGGCCAATTTTTATATCGTTAAGTTCTTCTGCCTTGGTCGTGTTAGTCCTACTGGTGTAGAATTTAGAATTAAAAACTATTTTTATTAGCCAATGGCCATAATCAGGGTGGAATGGGCTCTATAATGAAGCAATCAATTTGGAAAATAAGTTTAGCAGAAGCCTAATTTGTGAGCAATTCAGTAAATGTTGGATTTAAGATAAGTGATCCTGTCCCCAGATGCTACAGGTTCAAGCCCCCCTTGAGGGAAGAGGGGCTTCCCTCAAGAACTTACAACATTGAATGACCTGGAGCAGGAACTTAGAAAATACTTGTAGATTGGTTGGATGGGTAGATGCTCTTCACCATGAGAAATTACATGGAACTTGGTGTTTCACTGTCACAAAAATGCAACTTACATCCCTCACAGTATTTTAGAAAAAGGGCAGATTTATGGCTCTCCATTTCTTTGATCCTTCCCCTTTAGATTCACCTGCTTTTCTGCATTATTAGATGGATGACTAATATGAACGATAACTTTCTTCCAGCTTGCAAGTTCTTTTTTTAAAGTTTATTAATGTGCCCTTCTTTTCTGGGAGTGCTAGCTCTTTGTCATAATTCTCTTCCCTGATCCCACATATCTAGTGAGATGTCTGTTCTCCTAAGGCCTCGTGTTTCAGTCACTTAGTGGTACACACTGTATTATCTTTTTTAATAATATATTTATTTTCGTACTAAGAAGTTTCTATAAGTGTGTGAATAATAGTACAAAAATAAGTATAACAGCATAAGAAAAAAGTATCTATCCCTTTGTCCTTTGAAGGAGAATTTTTTTTAGGGCCAGAAATAATCTACAGCAATGGATGTACTTTTTAATTGTTTTAGGGGAAAAAAAAAAAAAAACCAGAGTGTGAATCACTCACACTCATTATGTCAGAAAATGTCTCTTTGGAGACTGGGGGAAATTTCAGAATGAACAGAATGAAGTGAGATTTCTTTCTGTCTAAAACATAGCTACTAACTGTCCGTGGGCCTGAGGAGACATCATTTGACTTGGCTACGAGTGCAGCGGGGGTGCAGGGTTGGTGAGCCTGTATGAACCACTTGTCCTAAAGTGACCAACAGATAGTAAGTAAGGAAAGATGGAATGGTGGCCTCACTCTGTTTAGCTCAGTACAAACTCCCTTTCCACTTCCTAACCTATTTGAAGTCCATCTCTGTCTTCTGTTTTAACTTGATATTTGGGAAATCAAAGTCAGCTTCCAAAGAGTAAAGAAAAATGGCGGTTCATGTCACAAGCAGGCATTCTCTGAGGTTGCTTCCTCTATGTCATCTATCCTCTTCTCAGCAACCAACCCTGACTAAACCCCCACCCTAGGGAACTCCTGAGAAGGGAGAGCAGTAAGCAGCATTGGAAGAGAGTAAAGCCAGGGTCTTTGCAGTGGCCTTCAAGACCATCATGGTGCGGACACCCCCAACCTTCAGGCTAACACCCACCACTCTCCCTTCTCATTCCACTCTTCCCTGGCTCCTTGGCTGTGCCCGCTTCCCCCAGAAAGCTATAGTGTGACATCCTCCTCTCCACCTCAGCTGCTTG